CCTTTATGTGCCTCATGAAAGGTAGCCATGTTTCATCATGGACAGCATGGGCAGTAGAAAGTTGGAAGCTTTCATCCTGGGATTCTTCATTGTCATCACCCATTGTAGCATCCTGATCTTCCAAAGCCGGCTCTTGGTTCCCCAGAGCTTCGGAAAGTCCCGGGTCATCTTTCCCAAAAGTCGTTCGGCCTTGGAGAGGAAATTGCGTATCACCCGGTTTGTTGATCTTGATTACCCGCAAGATTGATGCAGTACCATTGGATTCATTTTCAATAAGATCCTTTGTAGGTACAACCATGAATTCTTTTCTCCACATGAATTCGGGGTGAATGGCATAGCCAAGGAATAAACCAGGGCTCGATGTTGGGTCGAAGCGAAGTCCCTCTTTGTTCTTCTTTCTCGGACCATTCCAATAGTCAATAAGACAACCAAAAGGAATGAGAGGACCATCAAATCTCGATCCAAAACGTAGTTCCCATGGTGACTTGTCTCCCCCCGTTGCAATGACATTCTGCATGAAGCACCAATGTCGGGCAGCATGAGGCCAGTGCCAATGATTCAGGCCTGCTTGGAGCAGATTGACACGAGTGCCTTCAAGAACTGACCGAACTGCTCTCTCGGCTTGGGCGTTGGACTTGGATATGTAGTCCCTACTTAAGACATGACGGCACTGAAGGATCTTCATTGCTGAGATTAACTCAGGTGCATTGTCACTGTAGAAGACTCCTATCTTATCTTCATGTCCAACAAAATGTTTGATTGCCAAGATAGCAGCATTGGTGGTTCGTCTGGCATTGGGGTAGACATACATAAATCCTGTAGCTATGTCCTTCACGACGAGTGCACTTTTCTCATCATCGATTCCCAACTCGTCTTCATCTCTAGTGACAATAAAATCAGCGGTGATGTGGTCACCAAATTTCTCAGCTTTAACTTTGGTTGATCCGCCTACGGCCCTTGAGGGTGGCTTGAACATCTTAGCCCTAGTGCATATGTCACAAAAAGGGTTCTTAGGGATGTGAGTCAGCATATGTCGAACGGACTTGGCTTCTTCTTTTAACTCTTTTTCCCCTAGTGACCTTTTGTGAGCACCATCATCATGGACATTACTACTGCTACCCTTAGATCCTTCCAAAGGCGGCTCAACCTCCCGGTCGGCATCAGGGACATCAACCTCCTCAGCCTCCAATGGCTGGGGCTCCGGTAAATCAACATTGATACCCATGGGGTCATCACCAATGATTTCAATGTCCCCATCGGGCTCCGGAGATTGTTGAGCTTCATCTGATGCCGGGGTGGCAATGCTTGGTCTAGGCTGAGTTGATGGAGTGGAAATCGTCTTTGAATTATTTGCAAAGTAGGGTACATAATCTCTGACAACTAACTCAATGCGTTCCCCATTTGGTTTGACCATGTACGGAGGTTCACCTTTGGAGCCTCTCCATATGAAGTCGTAGCCATCATCAATGCATCTCATCCCGACTGAGATAACAGGAGGTGAGCTTCGAACAAGATAGGGGTCAATGGTCTTGCCTAACTTCGGAACAAATACTTTTCCTTGTTTCGATGACGAACTTTCTCCATTGGCAGTGATCATGCGAATGGGGTTGTTGGAGTAGTATCCATAGTCGTCCGGCAATTCACTATCATTGACAAGATCTTGAGCACTCCCCGTATCTGCAATCCAGTCAAGTTCGAGGTTGATCGCTCCCTTCACATCTTCTCTACATTCCGCAGGGGTGGCTTTGAGTCCCTTTGGGATACATTCATTGCAACCAAAATCTGTGTCACATAAATAGGCACATTTGCATTCTATTCCCCGAAGACAATTGGAAACTGATCCTGCCAACATGGTACCGGTCAAAGCGGCATCATTTACAGCAAGTTGATCAACTTCAAACTGGTGTCCCCATGGAAAGGTAACCTTATCCTTGGTGACTGCGTTTCCAATTGGCCTCAAGTTCCCTCGGACTTTAACATGAGATACGTCCGGTGAATCATCAAAACGAATCGATGGACAAAATACTCTTGGTTGAGGGATACAAAATGCCTGAGACACGGATGCAAGCATGGATGCAACAAGACAAACTGCGGCAGGAGACGGCTTAGATGAGCTGGCCCCGGATCCTTTAGACTTCGGGGATTTCGGGCTCTTGGGGCTCTTAGAGCGGCTAGAGCTTCGGGATCCCTTCCTTTTCGGGTTCTTGGGATTTCTCTTTTTATTTTTGTTTTCACTACTGGCCGAACGGGCAGGAGTAGCTTGTCTTGGCTTTCCCACTGAACCCTCATGAAGGAATTTGCAATCAGCTCCTCTATCGCAACGTCCCTGTTTCCAAAACTTGCAAATCTTCTTACCTTTCCCCTTTGGTTTGGGAGAACCAGAACGTTCACTTGAGCGACCTCTGGTTTTGCTAGGCTTGCGACTTCTGTCACGTGGCTTGGGGACTTCATGCTTATAAGTACAGTTGTCCTTACTACAGCCTCCCTTGTTCCATGCCACACAATACCCCTTGGGAATGAAACCTGTCTTACCCTCGACTGCAGGAGCGGAGGGACGACCGGCACCCGAAAGACCTTTGGCAACTCGATCACGATTTGCCTCCAACCTCTCACGGTCAAGGTGGCGTCGCACGGCAGAAACAAGAAAACTGTAGTTCCGTTTTTCGGTTCCTTCATCAGCTCTATGATACTCATTCATGTCATGTTGGATGGCCTTACAATTCTTCACTTGTTTGTAGAAGAGTGTTTCCAATACACTTTCGTCAGGAGCCTGGACAATACCAGCCAACACTTGATCCCAGTTTGAAATGAAAGACTTCAAATTCTCCCCACGCAATTGGACACTGAACAAATCTTGAAGGGCATAGGTTGCTCCGTGCTTGATGTTTGTACTGAAGTGGTCATGCAACATGAACAACACTTGTCTCCCTCTTACAATCCGTCCAGCGGTGGCTTCAGTCTCCTTGAAGGTGTCTACCTTGCGGGCGAAGTCACCAGTGATGATATTGGTGAGTGCAGAAAGTAACTTTGCATCTAATGTCGCAAACGGCGCAACCTTCCGGAGCGCTTCAAGGGTCTGTTCTTCTTTCCAAGAATCACTAATCCACTTGAAAGCACTGTCGGGATCGGTGGATGCTGCTACAACTGCTTCTCTAGTTTTGATTCTCCAATTGCGATAGGTTTCTGCCAATGGGAAAGCCGGGATCTTGATGGTGTCGGCTTCCTTGACCTTTGGTTTGTCATCATGCCTTGGGTCAATGTAGCCACCTAAAAATTTGATCATTCTTCGCCTGAACCTTTCATCATCCTCATCATCGGGATCATCATCACCGTCACTATCGCCATCGGGAGGATTGGGACCAGCTTTTCCTTTTCCGGGTGCCTTACGGTTCCTATCCCCTTCAGGTTTATCAATTGGATCAGGTGGTGATGGTGGTCCACCTCCTCCATTTCCCCCGTTGTCGTCTCCTCCATCCCCGGGGTCGTCCCCATCAGGCGCGTCATCGCCCCCGGGCTCGAAGTAGTCCATCTCATCTGGGCCTATTTCGGTCGGGGCATATTGATTAGTCGGTGCTGGGGAATTGACATTGTCCATGGGATGGTTATCTCGGCGACGATTATTGGCCTCTCCTCCCGAAGGGCGTTCCTCAGCGGAAGACCTTGCAACATCCGACTCCTTCTTCACTTGAACTGGGACTCGATATGATGGGTCATGATAAATGATTTCAATACCATCCTTTTCATAAGTCTTGGCATCAGGTGAAGTAAAGTTGATCGGCGTTCTTGCAATTGGAGGTCGGGCTACATTGGTCGGAGGTGCTGCGGGTGCAGCCTTTCGGGTTGGTGGAACAAACTCGAAATTTGGGATCTGCGTTGATTCATGGGTTCCGGCTGTCATGGTCATGGCGGCAGTTTCGACAATAGGGCTTGGACGAACCTGAGCAAAGTGGGAATCGAAGCATACTTTGCAGTTTCAGATTATGTTGCATCTGGGCTTGTACCATGTGTTCAAGCTGTGTGATGCGTTCATTCTGAATCCTTCTCTCTTCCTCAGCTGCTCTCTTCAACTCAAGGATTTCTTGCTCCTTACTTGATAGTGATTGTCGATGGTTAGCATCAATAACACGTTGATAGGCTTGAATTTTCTCATTCATCTGAGCTTCACGGAACCTTACGTGTTCGTGCGCCTCATGCTGTAAATTCTCTTTATATTGAGCACTCACATTCAAAAGTTCTTGTTCTTTGATTCTGATAGCATCAAGGGCCCTCTGACTTTCAATACCCTCGCGGACTCGCAAAGCTTCCTTCAACTCCTCAGTCTTGGCCGTGTGGATCGCTTCAGCCTGAGCTTCGGTGTGAGCCAACACCTCACGATGACGGAGCTCGGCCGCTGTTTCCACAAGGCTTGTCATGGCAGGATCATGTGAATGGACATGCAAATTCTGCTCGACAAAATTCACTTGAGGATTACCCATATGCACATTGTGGTGAAATGTGTTGTGAACATTCATTTGGTTCAATTGGCGAGTCGGCGGCCCACTCTCCCGAGCGGCTTGGGGAACATATCCACGATGGTTAAAACCGGCATGAGAAGGCACAACTGCGTTACTCAAATGCGGTAAGTGGCGTCTGTCCCTCAAACTACGCGATTTGTCGGAACCAGTGGGTGCGCTTATGTCAATGGAGAATGTGGTGTCTGAAATAGGCAAGGCTCCCGGATTTGCCATGGCTGCGTCAGAGGAAACGGGAATACCGGGGCCCTCAGGGGAAGTACCTGAGGGGGCAGACATGCCTACGAAAGAGAAGTTAGCTTACGGCTGATAACCTGTTTTACAGGCTAACACGCCACAAACGAACAGCAATACGCGCTTGTTTTCTTGAGCCATAACATAACGTAGGTAGATGAATTAATACAGTATGTACAGGGGTATTCATATTAAACAATTTCTTTGCAGACCCAGCAGCCCAACTTTGGTACTGGCTGCCAACACAAAGATAAATCAATTGCCAGCCTTCAGCAGGAAACGTTTGTCGTGGGTTTCATAAAAAGTGGCTTTGGACTTGCCACCAGTCCTTGGATTTGCTTCTGCCCGGAGCTGTTTGACAAGCTAAGAATTGGGCTATGGCGATAACATGTTCAAACATCGGCCAAATCTATTGCCTATGGTCAAATATGGTCAATCCACCTATGCCATCAGAATCCATCAGAATCCATCAGACACATCGCACGCAAACCAGGACGCTGTTTGGCTACAATGCACCGCTGCAGGGACCGAACAAAGTTCAGATCGTCCCCGCACATCCAGTGGCGAAGGACGTGAAACTGCGGCGCGAAGTGGAGACCTGAAGCTGGTGGGCTGGGCCAATGGGGGAGATCACCCATGGCTCTTGGGAAAAACCCTGGAGCTATTTTAAAAAAAAAAACAATGAATGGGATATCTCGGATATCTGATGGGGATCTGTGATGATATCATGGGCTGAATTTCCTTCAAGAAACCATTCATCTGACCTTCCTAGAACCCAATTCGTAAATCAGGCGGTACAGTACAGATAGTAAACTCAGGAATTCAAGGTATGCTCATCCAACCAACATGATCGGTGGTATCCCATGATACATTAACCTATTGAAACCCTCATTAAAGGCCATTATATCCCAGTAAATCCCAAGGTTTCAGGACCTGCGCGCCCAAAGACACACGGAGTACTTCCCTTGCCGGTCTTCGAGGTCCACCTGCCCCGGCAATGGCTTAGGAAGCCATGAAAACCCAGAAAGAACGGGGTGGAATCGAGGTGTATACATCAAAACAACTCAGCGCACAACAGGAAATATGTAGCTGTGTGGATTGTATAGATTATAGATTATAAAACATATAAATTATCACTTGTTGTCCAAATGGATCCAAATGGCAAGTCTCATGACATGCCAGATATCCTAAAGTCTTCATCAAACAAATGACAAGAAGGTACGACTCGATACGACCCTTGATGTCACACGATCCCAACACATCCCAACCATTTCTGGCACCTTGACTTCCTTGAAGGTCGCACCTGTGAGTACCTCCCGTAGACCTTGACCTTCCCAATCCGCGGCCGCTTGCGCATGGCCCGGCAGTTCTCCAGGGACAGGCAGCGATGACAAGGGTTTCAGCAACTTGGAGGTTTTGGCATGGAGCTCCTTCCTGCTTAGATTTGGTGCATTTGGTACCAATTGGTTCGCTCTCTCAGAGACAGAGCGGTCTCCCAGCTTGGAAGTTCTTTGGGACAGCACCTTGGGTAACGATCGAAGGCAACTTGTTCCCAATGGACAGCAGGGCTTACCCCCGGGCAACAGGCGCCATTGTGCTGCCATTTGCTCCTGGGCTCTGTCGCTCAGCAGCGCATGGGCAATCAGAGATCCAGGATCATCGAAGTTAACAGGGATGCAGATGCCATAGATGCACCTCAAGCCGTGGCTCCAGAATGCTCCGGTGGAGTGACGGATGAACCAACATCAACCACCAGGTAACCAACATGAACAGACCAAAAATGGGGACAACTCCACCCAAGCAGCAAAAGAAATCTTCGAACTTGACCCACCGATCTCTTCCAACCCACACAAATTCGGAAGTTTGGACTCCCCAAAACCATTGATCCAAAAAATCGAGGATTCAACATGATTCAAGCGTCAAAATGTGGGTCATGTCATGTTTCTTTCTTTAAATTGTTGCTTTTAATAAAAGCCTTGGCCATGGCCATCCCATCCTTGGCCATCCCAAGGCCAAGGCACCTCTCCCCAGCATTCTGCAGCTTCTCCGATTCTTCGAGGCCTTCGCCAAAGGCCTTCAGCACTTTGTCCAAGTGCACCGGCAGCGGTTCACGCTCCAGGCGTCCACTCTCTCCTAAGTCCAGGTCCTTGTGGTTGAACCAGCCCCATATGTCTAAAATGTCTAAATATGTCTAAATGTCTGGATGTATGGTATGGATTCTGAATGTATAAAATTGTATAAATGATTATAAATCTATAAATGTGCATGATCAGATGTAATAATTGTGTAGATGTATGTTAATATTCTATGAAAGTCGAGAATGGGGGTTCCAATCATCCCATGCATTCAGGTCATCAATCGGGGATTGTCCCATTGGCGTTTCGAAATCAGGCTTCGACAGGATAATCCGATAGTCCTCACAATTCCAATCAAAAAAAACAATATAGATACCGGGTTCTTATAGATTACATTAATACTAGATAATACTAGCATCTCTTCTTCAAAAAAACATAGACAAATATATATATATAATACATGTAGAGAATAGATTGGAAAATGAAGCCCATCAGATGACCCCATCACTTTATATCACTTTTGCCACCATGTCTCGTTTGGCAGATTCCAAGGTGAGATCCAAATCCAACGTCCAGGAGGTTCTCGGTAAGCGCTGAGACTCCGCCACCGCTGCGGCTGAACGATCATCCGCACTCTTCTCCGGCAGCTCGTCGGGGAGCCAAATGCGGCCTAAGGTGTCCTCCATGGGAGACATTGGCGGTAAAAACCATGCTTTAAAAAAAATCAAAGAATCTATATTTAGAAAATTGAAGAATGTAATAGCCTGGGAAAAATGGAAACATATCTGGTATAAATCAGTGTAGATCTTTAGTTATCCAGGAAATGATCTGGGATTTTGAGATATTTCACATGATTTCACACGTATCATAAACAGCTACAAACAAGAACTTTTGGGAAAAATTCCACTTTGACAGGTTCTGGGGCCTTTGTGACCACCTTTTTAGTGGCTATTTCCACACCAAAAAAAGCCCTACAAATCGCAATGGTTATTGGGATGAGCTGAAACCATCCAACGGAAGGTGGAAGTTTCAGCATCTATTTGTTTGATCTTACCAGTACCATCATCTTTGGTGACTGTGTCTTCGCAGTAACCAGTACTTCACCACTTTAGTCACTTTAGGTGATGTTTGGAGTTTAGACATGTTTAGACTAGGTTTGCCAGAAAAGGGTAATCGTCCGAAGCCCTGTCCTTGGCGCTGGCCAACAAACCCGAGAGGGATGCTATCTGAAAACTGGAAGCCTGAGTTCCACGTTTGTTCTTGTCCTCCTCCATGCGAAGTTTCTGCAGGTTGAGCAGATCCTGATGGCTGTCCCTTGGAGTTGTCTTGTCATTGAAGGTCTCCCGAAACGCGTCCAAGACATCACAGCGCAGGGTATTCACCAACACGGGATCCGCCAACTCAGCGTCCTTCAGAGACTCCTTCATGGCGTGGAGACTCATCCGTGGCCGGCTCACCTGCCCAACCTGCCCAACCTGCCCATCCTGCCCCAGGCATTCGTTTGCCGTCTTCAACCGCTGGGAGATGTTCTCCAAAAACTCCTCCAGGTGCTTAATCACACGGTGCCAGGTGGCCTTGTTCTGGAACAACCACTGCCTTCGGGCTGGCAATGGGGTGACATAGCTGTTACATTTTGCGACGTCAACATGATTTGTAATCATTTGTATGGGCTGGATACACCCCGACGGATTAAACTCCGCTTCAGCAACTACGCTTCAGCAACCAAACCCACGTCGACGCATCCCATGCTACCTCATACTACCTGGTTCGGATTTGTTTGATTTCGCACTCTGCAGAAAGATTCATGCCAAAACCGGACTTTGAGCATGCTCCAGACCGTTGGGCGAGATTGATTGATTGGCAATGCAAGTGCAATATCTTCTTATGAGATCACACTTTCAAGATCTTTCAAGCCTATGCAGAAGCAGAACATGAATCCGCAATGGGTTACCTGTCGTGGTCACACAATATCCATCCAGCCTGATGCTCAACAAATCCATCGTGCAGTTCAGGACGTTGGCGTCTTTGACTTTGGTTTCTTCCTCCTCCTGCACAGGACATCGCATCTCAAAACCTTCCCAAATTCCCAAACGGAAGCAGACCTCCCACATAAAAAAAGGGTTGAAATTGTGTGTAAAGTGCCCTTGCAATGGAAATTTGACCCTGGTGTTCCTCGTCAAATTGCGTCTTTCCCTGTGCAGGGATGTCACCACAAGGGGGGCTTCACAACAACTTCAAACTGAAACTTATGAGCTAAAAGGCTCAAGCAAAGAAGCGGAACATTGGAGGACAACCATTTTTCAATCATTTTTCCATTCAAATCAAAAAACACGCACCGAGACCGAGACCAACAATTAGGATCAACTAGGTACATGTCCAGGAATTGAACACCCATCCGACAATCCACTGAATGTATGGAAAGCCAACCAATATCCACCAGTTTGGGTTGGAGTTAGAATATCATTGAGAAAGTTGTTTGCTTGCATCAATTTTGGTTCATTGCATTCCTCACAAAAAATGAATTGATCAAACTGTATCACGGCTCCGTACAGCTCTAAGTGTTTTTGGTGTTGTTCTCTTTTGCTGCCGAATTGGCGCCCAAATTTTGTCATGTGAGGCTCATACTGTGCCTCTCCATCAAATAATGTTGACTCATGTTGACTCTATTTTTAAAAAATTACATGGACCTTTAGATCGACAATCGTATAGAAATAGTACTAAGTACATCTAAGTACTATGTACTGCTCTAACAACAAAAACTACAGTGGCATCGAAATAATTGGAGCGCACCTGGTAGCCCTCTTTCCGCAGCACCCGCAAGGAGCTCTCACTGCGTGGGGCTGGGAGCTTGGCGGGCGATTCCGCCTGGTCCTACACAACAGGCAGTTGCCAAAGGTGTTGATTTGAGCATCCAAAACTGAGATTTAAGATGATTCAAGCATCAAGAACAGGGATTTAATCTGATTCATCCAAAAATTGGATCTATATTATAGTATCACAAGAAAAATGCCTCTGGTATATAAGTTCACTGGGGACAAAGAAGATCAAGAAGTGGGTCTGGGGGGTTAGGAATGGTGAGAATTGGGATTGCTTCATTGCGAAAGTTCATAGGAAACCATGGTTGTTACTAGAAAATAACAGGTCTTTCCTGCAAATGTTCCCCTTCATCCAATTCTAGGATGGTCAGGAAAACCTACAACATGTGGGGGGAACAGGAACGCAGCAAAAAAAAAATGTGGAAACATGCCAGAAAAAAATGGGGTAAAAAACAACTAAGAACTACATATCTACAGCGAGAGGGGGTGTCACCAAGAGGCCGAAATCAATGGATGTTCAAGTGGTCATGACTACATGCCTGTTTGAGGAAGCTGGGAAGCAACCCTTGCATACCATGATCAAACATGGATCAACATCAAGTAACTGCATGGATAATACCCCTTTGCTCTCGGGACACTATAGTTACTATAGTTTCTCAATGTTTCTCCACGATCAAATGGCAGATTGTCTCCCAATTTCCACAGCGCCTCCGACTCGATGGTCGACAAGCAAATCAGCACGCTTCGCATGAAATATCTGATGTACGCAATGAGTTTTTCCATATTCTCGAACAGCGAAATCCTCATGTGCCCCACTGATCCCCGGTGGTTTTGGGTGGATTTGCTGGTGGAGTTTGGCAAATGTCCGGGGATGGTGGTGATTGGTCTGCAACTTTCCCAATGCCAAGAAAAATTGGCATATGTTCAGACTTTTCGGAACAGGTTTCCTCCTTTCGATATCTTTGGATCACAAGAAAGGTCTAGTAGAGTCTAGAGTGACTGTCTCAAGTAGTTCAAGTTTCATACTCTCAGTACTCTCTTTGGCATCTTGCTCCAGCAGCAGGCCAGATTCAGCCTCCCAGAAGGGCAAGTGAGGTGGTCGAAGCCGCCAGACTGACACCTTCGAGGGGTCAAAAATGTGGGATCACTGATCTGCTGCTCCCCGGTGCTCCCAGTGCTCCCCATAGGGGTCTCCCCACTCGCCTGTTCCCATTTGAAGGAAATCACAAAGCCAGGCCGTTCGGGTGAGCCGCAGCACAGAACGTGTTCGCGGAAGGAGTGGGGGCATGGTGGAAAGTCGTCTCCAGCAGCCAGGGGAGAATATTCCAGATTCGTGTTGTGCCTGAAGTGGGAGTAAATGAAGACAAACGACGGCAGGAATGCATCGGAATGCTGGCTTTAGAGTCAACACCATTGAAACTGACCTGATTCTGTGATGTTGCTGAAAATTTGGATTGTGGCATTGCATAATTTAGAGCTTGGTATGCTGGATCCTTTGGAACAAAACTCAGTTCGAAGTTCCTTGAAGTTCGCAGTCAGGGAAAAATCTGCAGTGATCCGCAATGGCATCCCATGCTTGCCAGGTATATTAGCTAGTCCTTCAACTGGGTTTCCACCCCACTTCTAAGTAGAATTGGCAATGAATTGGCCATCATGGAACTCCCGCAGCAAACGGATGTTTGCAGCTCCAATGAGTATTGCACGTCTGGTTGGTGGTTCAATCCATCCAAAAAACGCTCGTCAATTGAGATCATCGTCCCTTTTTGGGCATGAAGGAGGGTATACACAGACATCACCACCGACCAAACTCGACATCCTCACTCATGATCTTGTCAAGTGCTCACGGGTATGGTCCCGCAATTGGGTATGAAAAAACAAATCAAATTGACGTAGTTGGCTCAAATTCAGGGGGGGAAGTACCAAAGGACCCACAAGAGTTGGTCATGTATGGGTTGGGGTCGGATGCAAACAGATTGCCCCACTCACTACCTTGTGTTGGATCCATTTTGAATGAGCAGCTGTGGCTCCCACTATGTCTAATTCATCCAAGGTACAACAAAATCTCCAGAAATTTGGCCATGGAATGCCATCCGGCAGACTCACTCAAAGCGCTGCGGGGTGTCACCTGCCGCCCCCTCTGCCCGCAGTTGCGGCAGAAACGCCACATCCTGAGAGCCCCGGAGTTCTCCAAGGCCGAAACAAGATGCAGCCCACGAATCCGAATGCAGTCACGTAAAACACGATATTGAAACAAGTTGTTTTTTACAGTTTTGTACATTTTTCCCTACCGTACCAGTGCGCTGTAGACTGTGGAACGTGAAAAGGGGTGAATTGTAAAGTTTGGGGTGTGAGAAAGTGGAGTGCTGAGTGGGGGAATGTAGTGTGTAGAGTGTGTACAGTGTAGTGTCGGGTGGAAAGTGTGAAGTGTAGAGTGTGGAGTGCAAAGTATAAAGTGGAAAGTGTAGAGTGTGAAGTGTGGAGTGTAAAATGTGAAGTGTGGAGTGTACAGCGTGGAGTATGGAGTGTAAAGTATAAAGTGTAGAGTGCGGAATGCGGAGTGTAAAGTGTGAAGTGTGGAGGCTAGAGTGTGGAGTGTAAAGTGTGGAGTGTGGAGTGCCAAGTGCAAATCGTGAAGTGTAAAGTGTAGTGTGGAGTGTAGAGTGCGAAGTGTACTGTGCACAGTGGAGTCAAAGTGTCAAGTGTAGAGTGTGGAGTGTAAAGAGTAAAGTGTAGAGTGCGGAGTGTAAAGTGTACAGTGTGGAGTGTGGAGTGTAAAGTGTGGAGTGTGGAGTGTGGAGTGTGGAGTGTGGAGCGTAAAGTGTGGAGTGTGAAGTGTGGAGTGTAAAGTGTAGAGTCTAGAGTGTGGAGTATAGCGTGTCAAGTGTCAAGTGTGAAGTGTAAAGTGTAAAGTGTGAGAGAGTGTAGCGTGTAGAGTGTGGAGGGTAAAGTGTGAAGTGTAGAGTGTAAAGCATAAAGTGTAGAGTGTGGAGTGGGGAGTGTAGAGTGCGGAGTGTAAAGTGTGGAGTGTGGAGTGCCAAGTGTAAACCGTGAAGTGTAAAGTGCAGAGTATAAAGCGTGGAGTGTGGAGTGTGGATTGTGAAGTGTAGAGTGCGGAGTGTGGGCAGCAAAGTGTGGAGTGTATAGAGTAGAGTTTAAAGTGTGGAGTGTAAAGTGCGGAGTGTCCCAAATAGCGCGCCTGACGCAAAATGACATTCCACGCACCGCTTGCCACGCAAAATGACACTCTCACAATTTCCCACGCCTGCTACGCAATTTGCACGTTGTCACCACTTGACGCAGCCCTGACATTGCAATTCGCGCAAAACGCGCAACACGACACGTGCTGCCCCTGCCACGCAAAATGATGATGGAGGTCTCCAAAGTGCTGTGCCTGCCACGAAAAAATGCAAGTCATGTTTTGAAAACCTTGCACAAGTATTGCGCCTGTCACACGAAACGACTTTCGACACGTTGTGAATGTCACGTGCCAGGCGAAACCAAGCTACGCGACATTTGAAACCTCCAAAAGTGACCGCTGTTTGCAGAACTCGCCAGAGGCACGGCCATAGCGACCTTGCGCGGACGGTTGCGAACGGTTGCGAACGGTTGCGAACGGTTGCGAATGGTTGTGAACGGTTGCCGACGCAAACGCAACTTCTAACGAACACACCTTCAACCCCAGACCCCTCGAGTGAAACGGGGACCCTTGCTACGCATTCGGAAAAAGATTGAGCAAGCAACAGGAGAGGGGAACTCAACCAACATGAGTGGGAGATTGAAGTGGTTTCAGCAACTCCTTTGATGGACGAAACTGTGGCAAACAGATGTCAGAAAACCGCATATGCAAACCCGGTTGATCTTGGTGACCCCCCCATCGTTTTGTCTGTCAGATCCCAATTCTTGACACTCTTGAATCACCATTGGGCTTTCAAGCTTTCACTAATCTCAGGATATTTGGGATACCGGGATACCTTTTGAAGTCCGAGACTCTCCAAGGTCAAACCACTTTGACGTGACTCCTTTTCAGAGTGCTCCGCATCCCGACCATCTGCTGGCTTATCTTTGGACAGCAAGGACCAGCGTGTGATGGCACCGCCTTCGGAGCTTCGCAGTTCCTCGGAAACCAAAAAATGAGATAACTTTGCACTCAAAGAAAATGGAGGCCAAGCCCCACCAAATGAGAAAACGGACATTAGTCGAATGGCATCGCAATTTTGTATCTCCATGCAGCCTTGCGAGTCAATCATCTGAAGTTCAAGAGCACAGCCATCACCAAAGAATAGAACAACAACTCGATGTCTACTTGTGTCCAAGGAAATTTGATTGGCTTGTTTTGCCCCATGTTTTCTTGTTGGTTACGGTAAACCCAACAACCTGAGAAGGGGTGGAACGAAAGCCAGCGCTTGCTTTTTGACTCGCGCGGGGGCGCGTGAAACTCCACCTCATCCATGTGGCATGGCTCAAACATGAAGCGCCCCAACATCAACAATTGCTATCGGGTCATAAGTTTCCAATCATTACATTTAGGGTAAACTCCACGATTTTGTAACTTCTATATCCAAATATGTTTCCTACAATGTACTGCGGCATTGTGAAAAGTTCTATCTCAAGTTCCGTAAATCCGCCTTTGGTTGCTCCCACCTATTGTAGATAAATAATACCCGCTTTTTTGTGTGAACAGTGGTCATGTGACCTCTCAAAGTCTAAATTGGTTTCTCCCCAGAATCGTGGTCCATGCTTCTCCGCGAAGTTCCGCAACATTTTGGCCGTACGGTGAGAAATCAAAACATAGCTCTACTCGCAAAATGGGCAGTGCAAACCCAAGACAATATTATAACATATGTAAGAAATGGTATAAGAACGAATAAAAATCGAGGAAAACAATGCAAAACCCACGGGAAATATAGAACAGTGGCGAACATGCAGTCCAAATCAAAAGTATATATATTTAGGCCATTTACAGACCTGGGTACCCCCCCCCACCCCCCAAGGGTCTGGAAAATAGGTATTTTACAGGAAATGTCGCGGAATAGCATCATCCCTGACATCGATAGAGATAATTCTTTCACTCTATTTTTCCAGCATGTTTACTGCATCGTCATAGTTTGTTCCTATCAGTCGCTCCGGTTTCCTCCATGTTCCAACAGATTTTGCACCCTTTATTCTGGTTGTTATCACATTTTCCTGCCAGGTTGTTATCACATTTTCCTTCACTGTATCTTTCCAGCATTTTCCAGTGGATTTTGCACGATTTCCTCTGATTGTTATCATGTTTTCCTGCAGTTTCTATATCCTCTTCGTGGGTTTTAAGTCTATTCATGCATTTTTAATCTATGTTTCCAAGATTTTTACCCGTCTCCTTTTTGCACCATTTCCTCTGGCTTGCTGCATTTTCAATGTATGTTTCCAAGAGTTTTACCCGTCTCCTTCATTTTCCGATCGTTTTTGCACCATTTCCTCTGGTTGTTATCGCATTTTCCTGCACTTTCACTGTCTTTTTCCAACATGTTTACAGCATCGTCATAGTTTGTTCCTAGCAGTCACTCCGGTTTCCTCCATGTTCCAACAGATTTTGCATGGTTTGTTCCTAGCATTTTCCTCTGATCGTTATCATGTTTTCCTCAAGTTTCATTGTATTTTCCAATACATCCTCTTCGTGGGTTTTCAATATGTTTTGTCCAGCATTTTTTTACTACATGTTTCCTATCATTTTCACCTCTTTCCTCCATAGGTTTTTACACCATTTCCTCTGGTTTCCTGCATTTTCATACCTTTTCAATATTAACATTAATCCAAGAGTTTTACCTGTCTCCCTCATTTTCCGATCCTTTTTGCACCATTTCCTCTCGTTGTTATCACATTTTCCTGCACTTTCACTGTATTTTTTCCAGCATGTTTACTGCATCGTCATGGTTTGCGCCTAGCATTCGCTCCGGTTTCCTCCATTTTCCCAGGGATTTTCCATGGTTTGTTCCTAGCATTCGCTGCGTTTTCGTCCGTTTTCCAGGGGATTTTGTACGATTTCCTCTGATCGTTATCATGTTTTCCTGCAGTTTCATTGTATTTTCCAATACATCCTCATGGTCTCTCCGGCCACCAAAAAGGCGGACCTAGGGGGGAATCGATACCCCACCGTCAGCAAATTACCTAGTGGTACATAATCCAGCAAAATGCTCCGTTTTCTCACCCTCAACACAGGGGCACGACGAGATTTCGTTCCCTTTCGGCAACCACCCCCCCCCCACACCCCCTATTCTCACTTCGTTCGCAAACAGCAACTAGCCAGCTAGCTGGCTTTCGTAATATACTATACCGAACCTTTCCCCATTTTTATCATTGGCTTCATCACATTGCCCCCATATTGTTTCATGGTTGGAATCCTCGTGGGCCCCGGGGGGTCCCCAGTCTGCGTCTGGGTAGGTTCGAATATTTCACTAACCTGAATTCAGTCCATTTGGAGATGATTTCCCTTATTCTTCCATGATTCCAGGGAGAACAGTGAGGTCGTTGTAATTTACCGAGTCACTGGCTCCAGCGACCGCGCGCGGCCGCGTTCGCTCTGCTCGTCACGGAGGTCCATGAGTTCCACCACCAAACCTTGGTCCAACGTGAAAAAAATAGGGATAGCCTCTAGGAACGGGGTAATCATGGGAAATAGTGGTGATTAATGGCGATTAATGTTTTCTTGAATTGTATGAATGATGGTTGTTAATGGTTATTGATGGACCAATAAATGGAGATTTATAGCTGGGGAAATCATCGAACCAAATGGTGGATTTTCCAGCAAGCCATGTTTGATTAACAGGGGTATCAGAACCAACTATTATAGGGCTTAATATGGATACCCCAAACCCAACCACAAGAGGGATATCCATATTTGGGACATAGTTGAAATTGATATCCCTATATAAATCTATAGTTGGGAGATATCCCTATAGTATATTGGGTGATAATGGGATAGTGGGATCTATGATTTTGGATGTCTGAAAATGGGGTACACCCATAGACTTGCATCGATGAGAACATATCAGAAAATGATGATTAACCGTGGGATCTGGTGTACCTTATTCTTAGACAAACCCACGAACCCACGAACCCAGTGATATATCTGGCTAATGTATAAGAATTCATCACCCTGGAAAGTTCAGTCCACAACTGGAGTCAGGGTACCTTACTGGCCATCACTTCCAGTGACGTTGTGGTGATGTCACTGATGTCATTATAATTTATTCTGATTTATGGATGCAATATGTATACTGTAATGTGTGTTTATAAAGACAAAATGTGGTGAAGAGAATAGCAAAGATACAAGACAAATGGTCGGGGATGTCCATCATGTGTGTTGTCGCGGACGTGTAAATATACTGTATGTAGATATTTGCACAATATCATACAACAGAATACGGGTGCGCTATGTGTACGTGTGCATATGTATGTGTATATCTTAACAACAATATGTTGATATCGTTGTGTATAAATAATTGTTATGTGTATTTATTATATATAATATAATATAATGTAATATACTATTTTAATTACATTACATTACATTATATTATGTCATGTGCTGATATATTATGTTATATTAGATTTTACTATATCATAGTAAATTCTATTATGTTATATAATATTATACTATACTACATTATATTATAGTATACTAAATTATATAATATATTATGTTATATTAAATAATACAATATTATATCATATTATATCATATTATATCATATTATATCATATTATATCATATTATATCATATTATATCATATTGTAAATATATATTATTATATTAAATAATATGTTAGATTATATTATATTACATTATATTGTATTATATTGTAAAATATTATATTATATTGT